CCACCGCAAGGGGGGAGGGGGGTGGTCAAAACCCGCCAAAAAACCGTCACGTGGTTTGGGTACGATCCCTTACTCTTCCATTTTAATTCCGATCGTCTTCGGGTATAAAATGTTTTCGTTTTATTTCATCAAGAAGAACCTTGTAATAAGTTGTCAAAACCCCCCTCCCCTTCCCTTTCCCAAACTTACATACGTAAACCATTCCACATATCACGTTAGTTCCCTCTCAACGGAGACACGTGGAACTGTGCAGGACGCGTTCCGCAGCTATAAAAATCAGAGAAATGCACTGAGTTTGACTAACTGGCGATTTGATCACTTGTTATAGAGCGTTGAAGTCTTGAGTTGAGCGCAAGCTGCCGCCCGTCTCCTTAGCCCCACACGGAATTGCACGCCCCGCGCTCAGAATCGCACGCGCAGAGCACGGCACCACACAGGCAGCGCACGGAAATTCGCACGGGCCAGGCACGGCTAATGCACCGGTACCGCACGGTTGTGCACGGATCTTTTTTGATAGGGGAACACAAACAATCAAGTTTTAAAGACTTCCCACTTTTCCAATTTTCAACACTCAATATTTTGAAGTGAATAATTGAATGATTTTTCTTTGTATGTGTGCATACGACTGTTCGTTGAATTTCAGGGGCCGATTAACGCGTTAGCGTAAGAAGAGCGATGCGCCCCAACGGAAGAGTCCGATCTGCTTTGCTGCTGAACCAAAGGAGTTCGATCTGCTTTCGGCGCTCGTCGACCGCTCCGCATAAACTCTATGATATCTCGAAGCTTGTGAGCGAAAGGGTATATGTTTTAGTGTGTACACATTCGTAAAGGACAGGGTGACAGGCTACTCTTTTTATGTTGCGTATATTCAAAATATACGAGGAGTTATAGCCCTCCAAAGATGCCTGACTTTCCAAGGCAGAAAAGCAGATCGGACTCTTTTGGTTCGGCAGCCAAGCAGATCGAACTCTTTTGGTTCAGCAGCAAAGCAGATCGGACTCTTTCGTTAGGGTGCATCGAGAGAGTACTACACTCGCCGAACCGTCCTGATAACGACATCACTCATTCAAAATGAATAAAAATTCAGGTGGAATCAGGCACACTAAGTTTTGCACTGCTGAGTATTGTACTAAGTTGCAAAATAACTATAAAAGCAAATAATTTGTTCCCCTGATGCCGGAGTATATTACGCTGTTAATAATAGCTGTTATAAAACCTGCAATTTTGAGATAACTCTGGATACCTCGGCAGAAATTCAAACTATTGGCTGTGTTTGCTGCAGGCTGTACCAAGTTGCCCATGCAGTTATGGAGGGGCCGGGGCGTTAATTGGCGCTGTGCGCCTCGCTGTGCGCCTCGCTGTGCGCTGTCACGCAATTGTGTTCGTTGCAGTAGCGTGTTTTGTGACATTTAGTTGGGCACTGCCAGTTAGTACGACCTTTGCAACGCCCACTGCAACACTATGATATTCGTGTTACTTGCAGGTGTCGTGGTATTCCTGTCAGTCGTATGCGAAGGCCAACGCCTGAACAGTATTGCGGTATGCATTAAAACGGACGCATACGTCCAGAAAAACAGTTTTCGTTTAGCTTCTGTTCATTTCAGCAACTGCTAAAACAGTTGATGGCATTATATTTTGTTGGCTGAGCGATTAGCGAAGCCTATTACTCCAGTGATGATCAAAAAGTTTCGCGTCTGTCTGTCTGTACACACGATAACTCAAAAACAGTTTGAGCTAGGAGACTCTTATTTTGGTAATTGTCTACTTTAGTGACTCCTCGAGCTGGATAGTCAATCAAGTAAACAATCGGAAGGGGATTTTTACTGATTTTTTCCGATTTTTTCCCTACGATTTTGGAGAGAATTGACGTAAATCGGCCAGAATCGGGCAAAATCGAGCAAAATCGGGCAAAATCGAGCAATCGGCCTTAATCAGGATCTCTCCAAAATCGTCGGGAAAAAATCGGAAAAAATCAGAAAAATTCGGTAAAAATAAAGAAAAAAAAAAAGAAACTGTAGCCAGGACCTTGGCCAACGGATCTGTGCGCGATGCGCACATGCACATACCTGCACCTGCCGCCGGTCCTGCTGCAGGCGGGCCGATCTTGTGCACAAGCTAGTTGTGCACAGAATGTCTGTGCACGCGGTTCGCACTGCACAGGACCGCTTTATCACGGGAAAAGCTAGGTTCAATGCAATTTTATACCGTTGTCACTAAGTGCCCCGACCTCTGTCACTAACTGCCCCGGGCCGGGGTACATAGTGACAAATGCAGGGCTCCAGTTCAAGCTACTTTGTTTGCACACTGGCTCGTAACTCATCGAACCACCACCTGCATTACCTCGGCAAAGGTTGCAAGTAACTATCTAAGCTTTCGTGCTCAACATTTCGCCGAAAATAAGCGAAATAAGCTCGATTTCCAAAAAGTGTCACTAACTGCCCCACCCTCCCTTACTTAATGACGTCAAGCGGAGCAGCGTGGAGCAGCCAGAGGCGCCCCCCATCCGAATCACGTCCCACAAACTGCAGCAGATCCCTCAGGTGGGTCCACAGGGAGGTCTACGGGCTGTAGTCGTCGTCCGTCACCTCGTCCGTCACACGTTTTGTTATGTTCTGTGTAGGTCGTTCTGGCCAAGCTGCCGAACGACGCTGCCATCAAGAGAACTATCAACCGGACTCGTCAGGCCACCCTTCCTCGCAACCCCAAGACCCTGAGAGACCTGCCAGAAATTCCTAGAGAATTCATCCTTACGCTGATGGGAGACGTCCTCCTCCTGTGGGATTCACTCGACGACGACGCCGACGAAGAGGTGGAAGAAAGGCGGAGAAGAAAGAGAATACTCATCTTTAGGACACGGGACTGCCTGCGCAAGCTCTGCGCCTCTTACACCTGGCTACTAGACGGAACATTAAAATCAGTCCGGCCCTGTTGACCCAGCTCTTCACCAGGGCTGTTCACCAGGGAATGTTCGGCAGTGCGGCCTTCCCCTTCGTCTACGCCCTGCTCCCGAACAAGGAACAGGCGTCCTACACCACTGTGCTGGAAGTGGTCCTGGACAAGTGCAGGGCGGCGCGGATCCGCTCACCTGACCCCACCACCGTGGTCAGTGACTTCGCGGTCGGCATCATCAACGCCGTCGCCACCGTGTTCCCCCGACGCAGAACTTCGGCTCTGCTTTTTCCACCTGGGCCAGACATGTCCAAGATGCTGGCCTCCAAGTCGCCTACCGTGACCCCGATGACAGGTCAGTCAAAGAGGCTGTCCACCAGATCCTGAGTCTAGCCTTCGTGCCTCCTGCCGACGTCGGAGAGGTTTTCGCTGAGCTTCGAGAGATGGTGCCCGACACTCTCCTCAACATCCTGGACTACTTCGACGACAATTACGTCAGAGGACGTCGTCTTCAAGGTCATCGGCGTGCCCAGAGGCCAAGATACCCGCCGGTTCAACACCCTGGTCGGCAAGGACCATCCCTCCATCCACGCGCTCATCAAGTTGCTGCAGAAGGAGCAGGGAAACAGTCAGCGGCAGATGGCTGACCTGGAGCTGGGAAAGGTAAACCTCTCACACAGAAAATAAAAGATAAAAGTAAAATGACCACTCGACTAACAGCACTTGTCCAGGTCGTGAAGCATCTGAAGTACCGTATGGTGACTGAGCGGCTGCAGCGGATCAGCGCACGCTACGAGGAAATGAAGGCAGAGGGCAGAAAAATCGACTACTTTCGAGCATGCGGCAACAACCTTACCCTTTAGTGGGCGAGCAATAATAAGGTGGACCACGTGGTCATGGGGTCAAACTTTTTTGGATTTAAAAAAATGGGTGCAAAAATAGTGGGCAAGGTTGAGTTGGGTAAAACAGGGGGTGGGAGAACGGCGTTGGGTGAACCGTCGTAGGTCCCGTAACAGTGTTTCGTGAGATATCGCGAAGCCTGTTACGCGAGACGTGGTCTGGCGTACATCTACCTAGTAATAACAAAAGAGTCTGAAGGCAAATGTGACATATTTATATCCTTGTTTTTCACTGGTGCACCAAAGAGCTATTTGTAAGCAGAATTACTACACTCACAGGCCGACCCTCCGCCATTTGGCTGCAGTTTCTCTTTATCGGCAGGCAACTGCGTTTAGCAGACTCTGGCTCTGCTTGGACTGGCCTGCCTGCAAAATTTGTCAGTTGCCGGTGATTCAAGTTTATGTGAACTGACGTCCTAACCCTCATTGAAGTTAAAGTTACCCTGGAAAATAGAGCATTCCGGTAAACCGAAAAGAAAGAAGAGAAAGAAGAAGCAAAGCGTTCTATGAGAAATGTACGGTGCCCCCTTGGGAACGCATGAACGTAATCCATCGTAAGCTAGATATTCTACGTCGCCTGAGAGTGAAAACTATTGTCATTAACTCTCAGACGAATTTAGACATCAGATAAGCCGTTTAACCGTTTTAAACGACCGTGGAGCCGACGCACCACCGTATATTTCTCATACTCGCCTTTGCTTCTTTCGTCTGTTCTTCTTTCTCACGTCCTCACTTTACCGAAATGGTCTATTTAGACCTCTGGCTCTGACTCACAAGCACTTCTTAACAAGCAGGCCCACCCTTCCGCCAAACGCAGTTGCCAGCTCCACTTCGCTGCGCCGGCAACTCCGTGACTACACCCCACCCTTCTGCTTTGCTTAAGAAAAATACAAAAAAAAACGAACGAGCGCAGTTTTTCGATTGTATTGTTTGTCAAAAAGTCTTAAAACTTGACTTTTCCCCATTGTTTTCATTATATCCGACTCTAGGGCCGAAACAGGGAAAGATACGGCAAATCCGAGGAGGGTTGCTGATCCAGAATGTGGTGACTTAGGGGGGGTACTTCCTCTGTCATTTAACTAATGGACGCCTCTTTGGACGTCTTTATGTGCAACGTGGTCATTTTCGCCGTATTTTCGTCGCAAGAAGAACTCTAGCGCCCAAACGGTGCAAGATAGAGTCGAACGGATAAAATTTTCGTCCAAAGGACTGTACTCTCACGAGTTACTCCTTAGGAGACCATAAAAAAAGAAAATTTCCTACTTTTTGGACCAACCCCTATTTCTTTGTTACCCCCTTTCACCCCCTTTTGGGTGGTTGCAAAGATTTGCACCAGGCGTTTCGTTGTCTAGGAGTGACCCCTAAGATACCCTGAAATTTGTAGACATCTAGCTCACCTCCTTCCTCTTACACGGACGACGGACGGACACGAGAGCGGTGCTTCACCGTTACATCCCTTTCTCGTGTCTACGGGGTAAATTTTAAGAAACGACGGGCTTTGCGGGCCGAAGGCCCGTTACATCATTTGATTATGTTCTTCAGCAAATCGCGTGACAGAAACGGTCGGGCCGCAGGCTCGACAATCGCCGCCGGCAGGCCAAGCAGGCCCGGCCCCTGCCGAACGGAGTTGCCGGCGCAGCGAAGCGAAGCTTCTTATAAAAAAGGGTCTTTCGTTTACAACGCTGCGATTCATAATTATTTTTTAAGTAAATTTCTTCAAAACTCTTGTCGACCCTTGTATTTCACAGGTCTGCCCCCTTTAATATTAGTGTGTGTCGTCTGGGCACGTTTTTCGATTTTAAAAAAATTACCCCTCCAAATTTTGTCCTTTTTTTGATGTAGGTTCCGAGAATGACTTCGTTTTTCCCGTGCGACACGGTCTTCAGGTGGCAACCTTCCCTCAAAGTTGGAAAAACGACGACTTTTGCACGAGAAACGCCCGGTATGGACGGAAATCGGTTCAGAGCGTCATAGAACTGTCCGATTGGTACCAGACGTTTCGCAAAGGAACAAAGAAACTTTTTTGGGCCCCACCAGCCCTTCTTGACCCAGCACAGGGCGCATCTACTTCGTTAAAGACGAAAATTAACCCAAAATGCGCCATATATGCTCCAATAAACAAGGACCACGACCAGGAGGGGTGACGTAGTCGACCAAGCAGCAGTGTTTTTGAGTGTCTGTATCACCAAAAGTACAGGGCAGGAGTCGGCAAATTTTCAGATTGGTGCAGGTGGCTGCAGCGGGGGGATAGGGAAGGTGGGAGAGCGGTCTGAGATAATGAAAACCAGATTAGGGGTGTCAGAAAGCCACCATAGAGCAATATAATTATGAAATTCGTAATCTACGTGCAAAACTGAATCTAGCAGTGTAGCGCTCGTTACTGTGTCACCAATTTTTTTTTCACGTCGGCCACCCCTAATCTGATTTTCGTCATCTCAGCCCGTTCTCTACCTTCCCTATCCCCCCGCTGCAGCCACCTGCACCAATCTGAAAATTTGCCGACTCCTGCCCTGTACTTTTGGTGATACAGACACTCAAAAACACTGCTGCTGGGTCGACTACGTCACCCCTCCTGGTCGTGGTCCTTGTTTATTGGAGCATATATGGCGCATTTTGGGTTAATTTTCGTCTTTAACGAAGTGGATGCGCCCTGTGCTGGGTCAAGAAGGGCTGGTGGCGCCCAAAAAGTTTCTTTGTTCCTTTGCGAAACGTATGGTACCAATCGGACAATTCTATGACGCTCTGAACCGATTTCCGTCCATACCGGGCGTTTCTCGTGCAAAAGTCGTCGTTTTTCCAACTTTGAGGGAAAGTTGCCACCTGAAGACCGTGTCGCACGGGAAAAACAAAGTCATTCTCGGAACCTACATCAAAAAAGGACAAAATTTGGAGGGGTAATTTTTTTAAAATCGAAAAACGTGCCCAGATGACACACACTATTTAATATACTTCCAGGCATACTCTGAAATAACTCCGAACGTGTCCGCAATGATTTCGCTTTAATTTGTGATAGATCGGAAGCAGCATGTGAAGTACAACAAAACAACGAAATAAATGTTGTTGTTTTTTGGCTGAGCGATTAGCGAAGCCCATTACTCCACTGACCGGAAAAGTTTCATTCTGTTTGTCTGTTTGTCTGTTTGTCTGTTTGTCTGTTTGTCTGTTTGTCTGTCCGCACGATAACTCGGGAAAGAATTGGGAGAGCGATCTGGGAATTTCAGGGTCGTTTTGTATCATAAAAAGACAGATCGAGTTCGAAGATGAGCATTCTAGCTCAAAAATTGACTTTTCAAAAAATCAAAAACCAAAGGTTGCTAAATA